ATTCGTTAAAATAATTGATCTTACAAGTTTAGACTTTACGAAAACAATTTATTTATATATAAAAGTTTAAAATCACTCAAATTCTTATCATTGATTGTTTGATCTTTATATATATATATTAAAATTATCATTTATATAATAATTGAATGTTATTTTTAAATTTGTTTTGATAAAATTATAAAATATTTAATATCTTTATATAAATTATTTATCAAATCCTTACGTAATCTTCAAATATTTCTTCTAAACTGGTATGCATTACAAAAAAAAGCATGAAAATAAAATACAGGATTTAGATTTTATACTTCAGGCTATTAATCTTTATATAATGATTCTTATAAAGATTTTAAATTGTTCTACGATATTATTTCATCATTAATTTAATTGATTTTAGCATTAAAATTAAACAAATGAATTCAATAATTTATATGCCTCAATCAAATATTTAGCATTAGTAAGATTTTGATGAGAAAATAATAATTTTTGAAACGTTATTTAATATATCAATATATTTTTCCAAATATATAAAGTTTCTAATTTATTTAGTTGAAATGAAGAATAGGGTTTTAACAATTTGCAAATACTTAAGCACATAAACTTAAAGGGATTTAAGTGCTTTGGTAAATTTCTAAAGGACATTACTGTTATAGAATATTTCATAAACACTAATTTTTCATCTTATTTTTTTATAATTATTAATCTATAACATTGACAAATGATCTATAGAATTAAATAAAATTACTAAAAATTGAACTCAAAACAAATTAAAAATTTATCAGTAATTTTTCTTCTTTAAATTACAATAATTTTATTTCTTATTAAAGAAAAATTTGATGAATTTTATTAAAAATTCCACAACCTTAATTAACCATTTACTATTTAAACTTAGGTTAATTGGTATATTAACTTATTTTTGTTTTTAGAGTAATCAAACCTAAAAAATATTGAATGCCTATCTATTATTAATTTATTATTTTATGTCATTTGTAATTTTAACATTAAAATATTATTATAATTTATAAGTAGTGCTAATAGTTATTCTTGAAGAATTCCATATTTTTAAGAAAATTTTGTTATTTTTATTTGGATAAGGAATGATTAATCCTCGAAATAAGATCCAACTCTCTTAGTTTGAAGAGTTTAGAGTAACTTTCTAATTACTCAAAATCTCAAATAATCTAAAGTGACCATCCCTATTATTACAACAGTTAGGGAACAGTTAGTGAATCATATTAACACCATCTTTCTCCATCATTTCTTCAATATATTGATCTAATTATTATACTATTCATAAAGTTATGGATTCTTAATTGATAAATGTTCAAATTTTCATCGATTACCTGACCCATAAGTAATGAATTTTGACTAATTATATTTATCCCTAGACAGATATCCATAATTTGAAAGTATTTAATTCTTAATCTTTTTCTTTTAATACTTTTTAGTTCCTCAAATTATTAGTTAAGAAAGATGTCTTCATTTCTGATTAAACCTAACTATTATTTTAATTAATTAATTAGAAAATAAAATAAAAGATATAGTCCAAGTTAATATAGAAGAGGACAAAAGCAAGCCAGAATATCACTTGCTAAAAATCCTTCCTGAAGGGAGTAGAGCACTATGAGAATACTAAATAAGGACTAATTTCAATAAGGAATCTTAAGACCTATTAATTTCGATGCTCATTTTTGGAAGGCTTAAAATAAATGACGAAAATGAGAATAGAGAGGGAATAATCAAGAGGATAACTGAATGCTGAATGAATGGACAGATTAAATATGGACAAAGAGAATATTTGAAGAACTTTTGAAAAAACACGATCTAAACACTGAAGAGGATTCCAAGTGGGCTAAGTACAAAATCCCAGGATCCCTCATCATGAATGAAACTAAAGTCGAACTTACTAGGAAAGGTAAGGAGATAAATATTTTTAATCTTTTTGAAAAGAAAGATTTAAGATATGGTCAGAAAAGATGTTCATTTAAGTACAAAAGTATTTATTATGCTATTATGATTGGTATCATGATTAGGTTTTCCTATCCTAATAGGATTTCAATCAATAATATCTGTAATTAGAGAGTTCAAGTCAAAAGGAAGTGATTATTAGTTACATCTGATACTTTTTTGGACTAATATGTATTCAATTTACTTAACTTTTCCTTATTTATTCTATCTGGTTTTTTGTTATTTCAGTATAAATATTGTATTAAGAATAAGATAAAAATTTCTAATAGTCTAGTTGAAATCAACTCCAAAAACCACTGCCAGGTTTTCAAACTTCTAGGGTAATAGATAAAATTCTTTTTTTTGTTATGGATATATTTACTAAAATAGCAATAAATTCAAAAGACTTACTTCCACAATCAAAGGGTTCTAGGTTTCCAAATATTATCTTCTTTCACAAACCGGATTTAGATTAATAGGAAGAAGATCAGAATTCAACGGGATGATGATACAAAAGTTATTTATAATAGTTATTCAAAAATAATAGAGAACTGAAATCTAATTTATGATTTTATGTATACTAGTATAATTTCATTTAACATAATTTCCATGTAAAAATAGTATTTCACAACTAATGACTATTTTCTACTTTTATATCTCAATTATACAATTATAATAATCAAAACTATCAAATCAAAATTACTTCTTTTATTATGGTTTTAAATAATAAAATTACTTGAATTCATAGTTATTAAGTCTTATAACTTTTACAAATTCTATAAGTAAAATAATCTAAAAATGAATTAGATCAAACCTAGAAGCACTTAAACCATAAAAAAGATAAAGAATATATCTAATTATTAAAAAAATACAAAATGATCTTTAAAGTAAATTAAGTTCTTTCAAAATTGGTTTACTATATGGAAATATATTTTATTAAAAAGCTTTTTTATAATAGTTATTTAATTTTTAGTATTGTGCAACAATCATAATAAAATTTATAAAAACTACTAATAAAATTAATTATATTTAAATCAATTTATATTAGCACTATTTTAANAAGTAATGAATTTTGACTAATTATATTTATCCCTAGACAGATATCCATAATTTGAAAGTATTTAATTCTTAATCTTTTTCTTTTAATACTTTTTAGTTCCTCAAATTATTAGTTAAGAAAGATGTCTTCATTTCTGATTAAACCTAACTATTATTTTAATTAATTAATTAGAAAATAAAATAAAAGATATAGTCCAAGTTAATATAGAAGAGGACAAAAGCAAGCCAGAATATCACTTGCTAAAAATCCTTCCTGAAGGGAGTAGAGCACTATGAGAATACTAAATAAGGACTAATTTCAATAAGGAATCTTAAGACCTATTAATTTCGATGCTCATTTTTGGAAGGCTTAAAATAAATGACGAAAATGAGAATAGAGAGGGAATAATCAAGAGGATAACTGAATGCTGAATGAATGGACAGATTAAATATGGACAAAGAGAATATTTGAAGAACTTTTGAAAAAACACGATCTAAACACTGAAGAGGATTCCAAGTGGGCTAAGTACAAAATCCCAGGATCCCTCATCATGAATGAAACTAAAGTCGAACTTACTAGGAAAGGTAAGGAGATAAATATTTTTAATCTTTTTGAAAAGAAAGATTTAAGATATGGTCAGAAAAGATGTTCATTTAAGTACAAAAGTATTTATTATGCTATTATGATTGGTATCATGATTAGGTTTTCCTATCCTAATAGGATTTCAATCAATAATATCTGTAATTAGAGAGTTCAAGTCAAAAGGAAGTGATTATTAGTTACATCTGATACTTTTTTGGACTAATATGTATTCAATTTACTTAACTTTTCCTTATTTATTCTATCTGGTTTTTTGTTATTTCAGTATAAATATTGTATTAAGAATAAGATAAAAATTTCTAATAGTCTAGTTGAAATCAACTCCAAAAACCACTGCCAGGTTTTCAAACTTCTAGGGTAATAGATAAAATTCTTTTTTTTGTTATGGATATATTTACTAAAATAGCAATAAATTCAAAAGACTTACTTCCACAATCAAAGGGTTCTAGGTTTCCAAATATTATCTTCTTTCACAAACCGGATTTAGATTAATAGGAAGAAGATCAGAATTCAACGGGATGATGATACAAAAGTTATTTATAATAGTTATTCAAAAATAATAGAGAACTGAAATCTAATTTATGATTTTATGTATACTAGTATAATTTCATTTAACATAATTTCCATGTAAAAATAGTATTTCACAACTAATGACTATTTTCTACTTTTATATCTCAATTATACAATTATAATAATCAAAACTATCAAATCAAAATTACTTCTTTTATTATGGTTTTAAATAATAAAATTACTTGAATTCATAGTTATTAAGTCTTATAACTTTTACAAATTCTATAAGTAAAATAATCTAAAAATGAATTAGATCAAACCTAGAAGCACTTAAACCATAAAAAAGATAAAGAATATATCTAATTATTAAAAAAATACAAAATGATCTTTAAAGTAAATTAAGTTCTTTCAAAATTGGTTTACTATATGGAAATATATTTTATTAAAAAGCTTTTTTATAATAGTTATTTAATTTTTAGTATTGTGCAACAATCATAATAAAATTTATAAAAACTACTAATAAAATTAATTATATTTAAATCAATTTATATTAGCACTATTTTAATATTTAAATTAATTAATACAGAAAATTTGTACATTATGAAATAGTATAAATAAAATAAAGAAACTTAAAAAAAAAATTACAAAGCCTTAATCGTAAGCTACATAAATCAATAAAAAAAAGACTCAACAATGAAAGATATGACTAATGAAAAGATCCTTACTAAAATGTTATAAGGTTCATTGATGATGATGGAAGATAATCAATAATATAATACAACAATTTTTGATGTCATCAAAGAATCTATTTGGAGTTATCAAGTCAGCAGTAATTTTATCTGTTAAAATAGAATAAATTCTTAATAAGATCATAAATAAAAACGATAGAATATAATCAATATTGTCTTCTATATTATTAATATTAGATGGATATTTCAACTTTAATAGTAAGAAAATCAATCTGATATACGTAAAAGTTCCATATGTTTTGAGATATCAAAGCTTTTTTTTACTTCAATCAACCGAAAATTTTACAATTTTATTTGAAGTTGGTTTACATAAATAGTATAATGATTCAAAACAATAAGTAAATCTAAAAAAATAAAATTAGGCTTAGTTTTGTTATTTTGATATTGTTTAAAAAATTACTTTTTTAGACATCTTCTTTTACCAAAAAGGTTAAGAAATTACTGATGCAATCTAAGAATATTAAATAAATAATTCTAAAGATTTTTTTAGGACTGCATTAGACTAAGTAGAATGTATTAGTATGCCATTGACAGGAATTAATTCCAAAAAGTAGAGTTACTTATTTCAATTTTAAAATAAAGGTTGGCATGAATCATTATACGTTTCATAAAGTTAAAATTAAATTTAATGGGTTCCCTTAAAGTTTAAATAGCTTATAGAGAATAAACAGGATTTTTTTTTTAAAGAACATTTCATAAAGAAATCATTTTATGAAAAATTATCAAATTAATTACATTATGAAGATATTGGGAATTAAAATAAGTATAAATTAATATAATTTTTGGATTTTGAATCTGTGGGTCAAATTTTAGATTTACTTTAAAAATCTTAATAATTTAAAATTAAACTATCAAATTAGGAAAGATAAATTGTGACTACAAAGAATAATGCATTAGTTATTGGTAGAAGTGGAACAGGAAAAACAACTAGCATTGTCTTAAGAATATTTGCTACAGAAATGTTAGTCAAAGTAAGAAGTAAATTACTTGGTTAAAAAAGAATATAATTTTTGTAGGATTATTAAGGAAAAGATGTTTAAATTCATTCACTATTTTCAACAGCAAATAGATTTTTAGTTTTGGAAGTGGAAAAATATTATCATAAATTAGAAAGATAAGCTCAAGATGCTATAAATAATCATAGAGAATCTAAAACATTTAATTTAGATGAATCATTGTAATTTAATATATTTATTAAATTAGTGTCTCAATTAATGAAAGTGTTATCTCAAATTATGAATATGATGTACTAGATTTTATTTTACAAGAAGAAAAATTCCAATAGTCCAAGAATAATAAGAATAATGAAATATCTTAAATAGAATAATAAAAATTGAATGAAACATCATTTTTATTAACCAAATTTCCTAGTTTTTTATCAACAGAATAGCTTTTAATTTTGTTAGATTAACAATCTTTAAATCCTTTTTTCTCTATTGAAAAAATTAAAAAATTTCGACAAAAGCATAGTAATAAAATTGGATTCTAAGATTTTAATGGAATAAATCTAGATGAATGGTTTCCTTAAACTAATAATGTTTAATATTAATCGTTTTCCTCAAATAAAATACTTGCAAAATAAGATGTAATGGTACCTGAAGTTGATTTTATGTTATTTTATTTATAATTTTGGCCTTAAGTATGTGGAAGAGGAAGAAACAATTTTGATAACATAGCTCTTCCATCATTAATATGGACATAGATTTATTCATACATTAAAGGCTCTTAATATTCTTATATATATCCAAATAAATGTCTACCTTTTCAGTTGTATAAAGAAAGAGTTGAAAATTATTTGAGTGAAACATAGATAATAGAAATTTATGATTGTTTCTTAAAATATGAGATTTGGAAGGAAAAAGAACAATATATAGATCAATTAGACCTGATCAATTCATTATTACTTAATTTAGAATAAAATTAATTAAATCGATTTCCTATTCACTATTCTTATATAGATGAAGTATAAGATTTACCTTCTGCTATGATTGAGCNATTTTAAGTTTAAAATAAAATTTGGCCTGAATCATTATATTTTTAATAAAGTTAGAATTTAATTTAATGGATTCCTTTAAAATTTAAATAACTTATAGAAAATAAATCGGATCTCTTATTTAAAGGATAGTTTATAAAGAAATCTTATTATGAAAAGTTATAAAATTAATTTCATTATGAATAGATTGGAAATTAAAATAAGTATAAATTAATATAATTTGTTGATTTTGAATCTGTAGGCAAAATTTTAGATTTATTGTAAAGATCTTAATAATTTAAAATAAAACTATCGGATTAGGAAAGATAAATTGTTACTACAAAGAATAATGCATTAGTTATTGGTAGAAGTGGAACAGGAAAAACAACTAGTACTGTATTAAGAATATTTGCTACAGAAATGTTAGTAAAAGTAAGAAGCAAACTACTTGGTTAAAAAAGAATATAATTTTTGTAAGATTATTAAGGAAAAGAAGTTTAAATTCATTCCTTATTTTCAACTGCTAATAAGTATTTAGTATAAGAAGTAGAAAAGTATTATCATAAATTAGAAAAATAAGCTTAAGAAATTATAAATAGTCATAGAGATTCAAAGACTTTTAATTTAGATGAATCATTGTAATTTAAAACATTTAATAAATTAGTGTTTCAATTAATGAAAGTGTCATATCAAACTATGAATCTGATATATTAGATTTTGTTTCACTTTAGCCAGAGGAATAATGCCCATATAATCAAAATAGAGGAATTCATTAATAAGATAAACAAAATTTGAATGAATAATCATTGTAATAAACTAAGTTTCCTTGTTTTTTATCAACAGAATAGCTTCTAATTCTTTTAGATAAAACATCATAAAATCCATTTTTCTCAATCGAAAAAATTAATAAATTTAGATTAAAACACAGTAACAAAATTGGATTCTAAGATTTTAATGGAATAAATTTAGATGAATGGTTTCCTTAAAATAAAAATGTTTAATCTTAATCCTCTTTTTCAAATGATATTCAACATAAATAAGATATCATTTTACCTGAAGTTGATTTTATGTTATTTTATTTATAATTTTGGCCTTAGGTTTGTGGAAGAGGAAGAAACAATTTTGATAATACTGCTCTTCCATCATTAATATGGACATAGATTTACTCATATATAAAAGGTTCTTAATATTCATATATTTACCCTAATAGATGTCTTCCTTTTCATTTATATAAAGAAAGAGTTGGAAATTATTTAAGTGAAACATAGATGATAGAAATTTATGATTGCTTTTTAAAATATGAAATTTGGAAAGAAAAAGAATAATATATAGATCAATTAGATCTGATTAATCAATTATTAATTAATATAGAATAAAATGAATTAATTCGATTTCCTTTTCACTATTCTTATATTGATGAAGTGTAAGATTTACCTTAAGCTATGATTGAACTATTTTGTAAAATAACAGAATAAGGAATAATATTTTGTGGTGATTCAGCTTAAAGTATTCTGAAGGGAGTAGGATTTAGATTTTCTGATTTATAAACTATTTTTAAAACTTCAAAAAAGATAGGGTCTAATCAATTAGAGAAATTTTAAGTTTATTAATTAACCAAAAATTTTAGATCTCATAATAATATACTATAATTGGCAAATTGTATAATTATAATACTTGAACTTTTATTTCCTAATAGTTTGGATCACTTATAAAAAGAAATTTCTAATCTAAAAGGTCCAAAACCTGTTATTATTTCAAAAAATGATCCTGCCTTAATTTGTTTTTATTTAAATTAATATTATGATGCTGAAGAACAATGTGAAATAGAGTTTGGATATAATCAAGTTATAATTGTTAAAAATGAAGAAGCTAAAGAAACTCTTCCATAATACTTTAAAGCAGCTAGAGTACTTACAACTTACCAAACCAAAGGATTAGAATTTGATGATGTTATTCTATATAATTGTTTCAGTTCTGATCCAATTCCAGAATAATAATGGGCCTTTTTATCATGTATAGATGTAGATGAATCATATATTGACAAGCAAGTATATGAAGAATCAATAACAAGTATAAATATATAAATATAATAGAATTTGACGATTAAAACAATAATTATGATATATAATTAACTGAAGATGGATAATAAGTTATTTAAAAAAAATTAAACTTAAATTAAAGATATGACAAAAAGAAAATAAATTATTATTCAACCCTCTGTAATGAGTTGAAAATGTTATATGTTTGTATTACTAGGGCTAAAAAGAGAGTTGTTATATATGACGATGACCCTTAATAGAGATTTCATCTTGAAAAGATTCTAAAGCAATATTAAGTTTGCGATTTTATAAGTAATTATGATTATCAAATACCATAAAAAAAGAAGTAGTTTATTATTTAGCATCAAGTTTAATAATAGGAAAATTAATAAGAATATCAAAAAAGTTTGCCAAAAATTTTAGACGATGAGGAAAAATAAATGTGGGAATCATAAGGTTAACTTATGTTTTAAAAAAAACTTTATGATGAAGCTGAAAAGTGTTTTAAGAAATGTAAAAATGAGAGAATGGCTATATTATCCAAAGCTTTCATATTTGCAACTAAAGGATCTTAAAAATTAGCTAATTTTAAATCGCATAAATTCTTATTTAAAAAGAAAGGAACTTTGGATTTAAAAAAAAAAATGGATGAATTAGAATTATAACTAAAATAAGATTTTTAATAAGCAATCATATCTTTTTTAGATCCTAAAGTTAATGATTTGATATAAACTGCTCATTGTTATTACTCAGGTAGGATGTACAAAGAGAGCACTATTTTGTATTTAAATTTAGAATTATATCCCTAAGCAGCAAAAAGTGCATATAAGTTAAAATAAATTCCACTAGCAATTATTATATATTATCATTTAAATGATCATATAAATCTACTAAAATTGCTATCAAATTATTAATAATTAGACTTCCAATATGGGTTTTTCAAATATGAATTCCTAAAAGAATGTCTTTCTAAAGGCCTTATAAATAAAAATGAAGTTAAATAACATCTATTAGATTTATTTTAAGATAATTAACAAAATATTTTTCATTTATTAGTCTAGAAATCAAAAAATATCGGTAATACTATAATAAATTAAAATCGTTTTATATAAAAATATTTTTTAAAAGACATATTAGATTAAGTTCCAATACTAAACTTATTTAGTTATGAAATAAAAAATATCCTTAATTCTTAAATTTATATCTAAGATGATTTAGAAGAGATGGTATATACAGAATTTCAAATATTTTGGGAACTTTATTATGAGATATTAGATTCACAAATGATAATCAATCCATATTCAAAATAAGAAATCTTTTTGATTATTAAATCAGAATAAAGGATACATAAAAATTAATTATTAAAATAGTTTTTGATTGAAGTTTTAGAGTAATTAAATTAACATTAAGTAATAATAACTTTATATCCAGAATAATACTTATATTATTAGAATTTCGATCAAAAAAAGTAACTTTAGGTATCTCTTATTGTTAATCCAGGGGATTAGAATATCTGCTAACACTTTTTAAGCAATTAGATGTCAATTTTATAGTTATTATTTTTAGATGAAATTGATGTATTAAGAAACACTATTATACACTAAAATCAAGAGCAAAAGTTTTTCTATCAAGAACTTAATTATTTATTATTAAGAAGGGAATAACTTTTACTCATTAAAGACAAAAATTTATTCCTTATTAAGAGTTATTATATACTCAGCTTATATTCTTAAAATTTCAAAAATTATTAAAATTATTCAAAGCATTGTTAGAAATATAATTACCAACAGTATTTGTAATAATATGCTAATTTACATTTTCCATAGGAATTCAAATTTTTTTTTAAACTTCACCTGATTATTGAAAGTGATAATGATTTAAAACAGAAAGATTTATCATAGTTATTTAATTAAAACAATTAGAAACAATAATTTATGATTATTTTACATTTTTTTCATAATTACTATTAGAAATTTCATGATAAAATCATCAAAAAATTAAATTTTGAATAGCTTTTATTTTTAGGAAAATTTTTACTTATGGTAGTTCATCTATTTCAAATTGATTATCAAGATAATTAGTATAATTAAGATGTATTTTTATCTATTTGTTCAATATTTGGAGTTTATTGTTCTAGATCAAAGTTTCTTAATATATTTGGATCAAGTATGATATTTAATATTTTGATTGATGATAAATAAAGATTAACTGTTTAAGAAAACTTTTAAATTGAATAAAAAATTTAAAGCTAAATCAAATGGAAGGTAAATTAAATACCTTTTCTTGAAATTTTATTCAATAACATGATCTAAAATAAAGGCTATGTTAATAATAAATAATAATTATTATTATAGAAAAACCCTACTTTTATATCCGATCTAGTATTCATAATTAATAACATATGTCATGAAATTAAAAATTTTGATATACCATAAAAAATACATGTTATTAATCTAATTCAAGCTATACAAATCTTAGATTCATTAAAAATATAAGTTCCGTAATGTATTATTGAAATAATAGAAAAAAAAAATTATCAATATTTAAAAAGTTTAATTGCTTTTTATACATTTTGCAAAAATTAAATATCCACAAAATCATTAGAACATTGGGTGAACTTTCATAAAAATAGAAAATTATTTGAATACTATCATCCAGAAATTTTAAAACATGAGATTAGTTAAATAATCTTGATTATGATTCTTCTTTAAAATGTTAATTTAACATTAATTAATAAAAAAGATGATTTTTAAGAAATAAATCTAAAATATTTGGTTCTAAAAAATAATTATTATAATGATGTTCAATAAAATGATACTTAGCATACAGATGAATAAGATAATTAAAAAAAAGAATAATAATTTTCAGAAATAATGGATACAGAATAAAAGTAGGATTTGAATTAAGATGATAGTTAAGAATAAAAAAATTAACT